GACAGCTGTCTTATTCTAGGAATAAAAGATACCAGAAAGTTAAATTAAAAGACGTGACTATAACTTGACTGGTATTCTGAGTTTTCTCATTCTGAAAACTGCTTTCCTAAAGTTTCTGGTTCCTATGTGGAATACTACGAAAATTTTACAGTGGGTGCTAAGAACAAAATACTGCTGTCATATTCTTACTGTCAGCCTGTAAAACCAGTAAACTGAGTCCATTTGTACAAGCTCTGAAAAGCTAGACAAAGAGTTAAATAGCTTCATTCAAGCTGTAACCAGGAAACGTTACAGAAAATGGAAAACCACTGTAGAATGAGTAGGTTACTTTAGTTCTAAACCATCTTTAACTGAAAAGTTAATCAGAGTCAGGATTATCTGTTGTCAGTATGAGACTGACCCCTTACTACTTGTTTTGAGGTCTACATTCATTATGCCATCAGAAATGATGTTTTCGGCTCTCAGAGGGTTAAATGAGGCTTCTCAATGGTCTCCATGGTAATGCTGGTAAAGCCATCCAAAAATTAAAAACATCTGAGTGCTCTAACCCCATAAACCACCAATTACCCACTTTTTAAAACGATTAACTATCAGAAGCAGATTTTCTGTCTTCTTGGCCTCTGAACACAACACTTTGAATGACAGACTAGATTTTTTATTTAAAGGCTCACCTTTCCCAAGAAGATGCATGCATATTATGACAATCAAAAAGTAATTCAGGTTTCCCTGACCAAGCTTTAGTCAGATGTCATCCTAACCAACAAGCAGAGCAAAGGCAGGTTAGGTGTAAGATCAGCAGCATACAACCAAAAGCTGATAAAGTAGTTCACTGATCCTCAGGCCTTATCCACCAATACGGTAGCTTGATGTCAATGATCAGTCCTCCTGCATCACTCTTTAGATGCCACTCAAGTCAAAATATGGAATTTTTCGTTACCTACAACTCTCCTTCTGAGAAGTTGGAACACAGATTTGCAGAATTTTAATTTTTTTAGTGCAAACCTGAGAAGCTTGGTAAATTATCTGATTCTTAGAGTTCAATTTTCTGACCTCTATCCTGAGGTCTTACCCTCCTCTGGTGATAATACTGTAAGAGCTAAAAATCACCAGTCTCCCAAGACAACTAAGGATGGAAGTAGCATTAATAAATACAAGACACTGAATGTAAAAGATACAGCTGTGCCATAAGATTAAGTGATGAAATAATTGGTTAAAAAGAGAAAAACGAGAAAAAAATAATTCAGTCCCAGCATTTTATCTTTCTCCTTATTCCAATTATTTTTCTGCCCCCTACAAACTTTAGTTAACCAGGCACACGCCCACCTGGCTAATGTCCAAGAATTAGAAACTGATCACACGTGACAGAATTCATGGCAAGAGTCATACAAGTTCCAGTTCACCATACTAACAACTTCCCTATGCATGACACTAACTTTTCTCCTATAGTAATTAAGTTATAGGCAGCACTTTGTATAAGAAATCTATACTCATGAGACTAGGAAAGTGTAAGGACAGAAAAGGAGGTGAGTTGGAGAGAAGGTGAAAGGAGAGAAGAAGTAACACCATTCTTCCCATGGGACAATAGGCAAATGATCATATTTGCCTGATCCTATTCCCCACATCCAAAGGGTAGAGACCTTGTTCTTCTCCTGTAGCCTCTTGGAAAGATTCAAATAAAAGAAGCCTTTTCCTATCTGATCCACAAGCCACTAAACCTGACCTATATCTCTGCAGAGTCAAAAAGATCCAAAAGCAATCAGTTCAGCTTTGGAATGGCTAGAAGTCAAGACTAACACAAAAACCCCAGTTTAGTCCCTTGATCCTAACAACTGTTATAAAAGTAAAAGATCCTCTTCTGGCTAAATTCCTCACAACAAACTTCTAGATGTGGAGCTGGGAAAAATCCAAACCAGCCTCTTAAAGAAATTTCATTTCAATTCATTTTTTCTTATTTTTCTGTGGAATTAAAAGCTCTGGCCACATGTCAAACGTCAATGTCAGATGAAGCACCACCTTTGACAACCTTAGAATAAAGCTAACTCCATGTGGACCTGTTCTCTTCATGCCAACCAAGGCAATAATCATTAATTTAATGTCCATTAATATATTAAAGAATTGTACTTGACACTTGAGTAAGCTGCACCAAAAATGAACTACTGTTACTCTAAAGAAGTTTCAAGTGGAAAGGGAAAAATAAGACCAAGCCTCTGACACCAAGCAACAGATATGTACCAATAAAAATATCAACAACAAATGCTATAAGATAAAGAAAGTAAGACAGTCATGGAGGCAACATTTTTAATATAATTTGAGAGGAAAAAGGTCTCTTAAATGATTGCCAACAGGCAGTACTAGCTCCAAAAAAGGGAAGACATATTCAGGGCGCCTCTCATGGCCTTCCTGTCTATAACCTGGAATATAAAACCATCACAGAATACAGAATGAAGAAGACTCGAATGTTTCTATCTCAAGACTTATAGACCTAAAAAGTAGATGATCTAAGAAAGGACTAGTTTTGATAAAGGCTATCAAAGATGCTGAAGAAGAATGTTTAGACTTAAAAAAAGGAAGAGGCTATAGACAGATTGTGCTTTGGCTACAATTTAGCATTAGAGAGATGAATGATGAATCCAAAAAAAAAAAAAATACAGATATAGAATTAACAGAATTTCTAATTTCCTGACAGGCTGAATGTAAGAGGCAAGGTTGTTCAAAGAAGGCCAAAGACCATCCCATAATTAAAGGCTAGTTAGCAAAACAAGAGTGATCCTATATATCTGATCCATTTTAAGGACTCTTGGGTACTGGCAAATCACTGCTCTTCAATGTAGTCAATACTAACACCTCAGCTTCAGCTTTCTTTAATTCCAACTGTTTACTTTTGTGTGTGTTTTAAATCGAAAATGGTATTTTCTGGTAGACCAATGAAATGCGATCTAGATTGCAGTTTTTGCCTCACATTACTATCAGTGTATCCCCAAAAAAACATTATTTCTCTATTTTTAAGTTTACATCTCCTACTGTGTTTGCTGAAATCTAATTTTAATAAAAGTGTTTTATAATACTCTGTAATTAGTGCTGTGAATATCTAAGGAAACTAAACAGGCATGTTTTGTTTTAGGGGATAAAAAAAAAGAGAGAGAGATATAGGAACAAGTTCCTCAAGCCAACTTACAAATCCTCCTTTTCTTAGACAGGAATCTCCCGGGGATGAGCTCAACACATACTCCACCATGCTAACGCCTAGTCCCCCACTCTCCGATCGTGGGGACAGTACAGAATTGACCTCACTGTTCACATGGAAACTCTGACCAGGTCTTCTCTGCACCATGATTGGCTGGGAAACTGAATGATCTACAAAAAAGATACACAAGCATGATACAGTGCAGCCAGAGGCTCAAACAAATTATGAGTGATGTCTCATGGATAAACCAATGACTAGGAATCAGGAAACCTGCCATGGTCAGTTGAGCCTAAACCTCCTACTGTGGTTTTCCCTAAGTATAATATTCTACATAGCTAAGGAAGCAGAACACACCCCTCATATCCAGGATAGTTGTGCAATACAGCAGTTCACATAACTGGTTTATCTAGATAAGTGGATAAATTAATGTTTACCCCTTTCGAGTAGCAGAATTTCTTTTTAATATATTTTATTGGTGATATTATTACTAAAACAAAATGTGGTTTTACCGCCCTTTTTAAAAACAACATAATTTGATCTTTTCTGATGACTCAGTGTCATCTGAGGTTCCATTCTTACACTGTGCTATAACACAGCACATCGGCTTTTGGGTTTTCTGTCTCCTTCCTCCCTATCATCTGTCATTTCTTTCTGCTGTCTGTGTGTCTGCCTCTTCAAGTTTTCCTCATTCCTCTTCAAGGACAGTCTGTTCAGAAGAGCATCCATGCCCAGTGACTTGATTTGGCCCCAACCACATTTATAGATTGATCATCCCATACACATTACACCGGCAAGGGGAGGAAAAAGAAACATGACTTCAAATGGCAGGCATGGGTTTTCTAATTCCAAGTATGCTGACAGCAGTACAGAACAAGAAGTATCAGGTGAAATTATGGTCTTTTCAAAAAAGACCACTCCCCTGTGGCTACCACTTCAATAAAATATTGAAGATTTGATTCTGTGTTAATTATGTTTTAATAAATTACATCATATAAGCTCCTTTGTGGCAATCATACTGCAAGACAAGACATTGCTTGACATGCTTATGTCACTGATATAAAATTCATGGCTTGCCAATAGCTGAGAAAAGGAGCTCTAAGACAAGCATAAATCACAGTACAGATGCTAGATCTAGATTACCTGATGTTCCCCAGGCACTGTCTCGCCATTGATCACCCAGGAATATTCCTTTTGGTCCATCTTTGCTGGATTCATCTGTTTCCCAAAACTTTTTACCTGGCAAGAGCTGCTGCAAATTAAAAATAATAGATGCTTTTAAAGAATTCATAAAGGATGAAAGTACAGCAGTCAACACTTTCTTTTAGACAAGGGTACTGAAGATGCTCATGTGCCCTGAAGGTCTTTAATCACAGTGTTCTGGCTACACAGATTGTGGTCAGAGCACTATTGTATATTTGGTAAAAGTCACAGGGACCTAAGGCAGGGTGAGGCAGGGGGCGCACACACAAATCAACCCATCGCAAGCAATAGATGCTCAGCTTAAATATCTAGAATTATTCACTTAACCTATGCCAAGATTTTTAAAGGGGAGTACTAATATTAGACCTATCAGCTACCTGCTTCCTAAGAAGACTCTTACTGAAAAAAGAAAGTACCTACAAGTACCTACAACTATTAAAACACTCTCAATGTGTACTGACTAACCATACAAAGTTACTCAAGCTAGAGCATGAACTCAGATTCCAGCTACTAGGTATGGTAGAGGCAAACTTCACTCACCTCCTTCATATAAAGAGATCCTGTTAACCAAAAACACTTCCATCACCAGAAAGAAAAAACAAAAAAACACTTCCCAACTACATCATTAATCTATTCCAAGATAAGGAAAGAAAAGCCATCTTTCCCCATTATGGGAAGGAAAATAAGAATCTCTTAACCTCAATTAATTTTAACAATATTTAGTAATGTCATTAAAGTGACTTGACAAACCATTCTATGCTTCTTAGAAATGCAGGCATCAATGGCCCTAACCCAATATGAGAAGTTTAAATGAGCTTCAACCAAAGAAATGCAAAACACAGTATAGTTTTCCAAAAAATCAAAGCATTAGTGACCAGAGTTACAAAGTAAAATTCAACTAGAATCCCATCATTCTTCATTCTGGTCATCATTTACTCGCTAAAATGTCCCTATTATTTCCTCTAATTATGTTTTCATTTCAGTTCCTACTAGACAGACAAGAAACTCAGGTGTTTGAGGCAGTACTTAATCACTGCTTCTGGCATAAAAGAGAAAGCACACCTGGGGAGTTGAATTTCTCAGAGAAACAGAAAAAAAACAGGAAGTATTTGCTCTTCTACTTAACAATAAAGGTTTACCTTTCCAATTTATATCCCATAACCCAATAATAATAGAGGAATAACTCAACTTTGTCCTTACTAAAATAAATCTCGCCTTTCTAAACCTAAATTCTCAGTTTTTCAGCATAATTTTACTCTAGCTCTATTAATCCATCTGGTAGACAAGGGTTACTCCTGGACCAAAGCAGTTTCCCACACAGTTTTTAATTCAGGCCCTAATTTATTTTCTAATCAAAGCAATCATGACAGAAGACATATTTGGGTCCAGCATTTAATTGCACAGATGCATAAGTTTACTTGAAGATGAACAGTTATAAGCAGCCAATTCCTAGTAAGCCTCTCAGTCTCATTCTCTGAGGATAACAAAGAGGTAGCTAGTCTTAATTTGAAGGGACTGAGCGATGGAAGGACAGACCAGACCATAGCTAAGAGGTGGAACAAGGAAGCCCTGAACTAGACCACTTTGATGTGTCCTAGGACAAATTGCTGAACTGCCCTGCTCCTCATTCTCTTTGACTAATCAAGGAGATATTTTTTAAGTTGTTGAAATGATTAGAAGGATTGCTGATGAGTGCAAAGCCTGCCACATAGTAGGTTCTCAACAAATGTACTTAGTGGCATTACACCAAAGCAAAATAGCTGTAAATCACAGAAGGGACACTGAAAATTAATGCAAACTACCTCAAGCACAATTCAAGAATTCTTGTTTTTAAACTTCTTTCTCTCCTTTTAGTCTCAAAAATGCCCTCTCACAAGATTACAAATAGAATTTCTTTCCCTCTTGGTTGTACCCTTTACAACTAACATTCTGATTTTTCTCCTTTACTGACTAAGAAGTGTGAGCAAACAGGAGACCATGTCAACCTTTCCTCTAAGTACTAGAAGAAAGAATGTCAGCACAAGGGAAATCTCACTTGTTGGCTAATTTTATTTTCCATATAATAGTCGAAAAAACAAAGGTGATCAAAAATATTCATTATGGTACTTATCCCTCTCCACACAAATTTGGAAATTTTTATTCAAAACTCAAAGAAAAGCTTCTATAAGTACCAGCCTCCATGTGCAAAATATAGTCTGTCTATAATTTGTCAAATTGCTTTCTGAAAGCAGAAGCTCTTGAACTCGAGGCTTTAAAAATGACTCTGGGATCCTGTCATCCATCACTTTAGCTTACTGGGCTGTCATAGCACACAAAGCCAGGAAAAGCAGGTGAATACAAAAGCAAGGCTGTTTCCTGGCCAAATTCTCTCAAAGGAAAACAACAATACAACATGTAGAAAGGTGCTAAAAAGTGGAGAGACTACTTCAAAGTAGCAATAGATCCAACAAGTCTCAGAATAATACACACCAAAACTCAAGACCCTAGTCTAATACCAAGAAGCAACCGTATCTCCCACTATTAACGAATGGTATAAATATAAATCCTAAACAGATGCTAGGAACAGCCCAAAAAGTACTAGAACTCCATATGCTTTGGCAAAGTAGCAGCAAGAAGCTCAATGAACTATTATCAATAAAAACAGCAGGGACGAAAAAGGCAAGTCTGTAAGAGATAAAGAAAAACAGGGTGGAGAGAGGGTGGCAGTATGCAGGTTATAAGAGGGAAAAAAAGTAGAAAGTGTGAGTTGCAAGAGCACCCTGCAAGTGGGAAGGAAAGGAAAGTACTGCACCAAAGTACTTGAGCAAAGACAGAAGCAAACGTAGCAAATCTCGTCAGAGTCTCTGGATCTTATATAGAACCTAGCATTTCTTTCTTTCCTCCAAAACATGCCCTTCTCCTAAGTTATGTGGGAAGCAGAATCGGAAATGACTCCTAATGACCTTTGTCTGCTGATACTCGTGCCCTATGAAATCCCCTCTCCTAGAAGGGGCTAGACCTAGTGGGGCTAGACTCGTGCCCTATGAAATCCCCTCTCCTAGAAGGGGCTAGACTCGCTTCTAAGGAATAACACAAGGAAAAAGTGAAGGGTTGAAGCTTTCAAGATCATGTTACAGAAAACTGACGTCCATTTTGCTTCCACTCCTCTCTTGCCCTGTTGCTCTCATCTCTCTTGCCTGCTCCCTTTGATGATGCTAACTGCTATGTTGTGAGCTGCCCTATAGAGGCCCATGTAGCAAGGAATCATGAGAGGTCACTGGACATCAATTAATTAGGAATTGAGGCCCTCAGTCCAACAACCTGTGAGGAACTTAATCCTAACATCAACCACATGAGTGAGCTTGGAGGATGACCCTTCCCCAACTGAACTGATGGCTGCAGCTCCAGCTGAGATCTTGACTGCAGCTTGTGAAGGACCCTGAAATAGAGGGTCTTGTGAGCCCACGACTGGGTTCTTAATCGACAGAAACTGTGAGGCTTAAACACTGTGTTGTTCTGAGCCACTAAATTCTGGGGAAATGTGTTACGTAGCAATAGGTAGCTGATATGGTTGTGAATGCATGGGGGAGTTTTCTTATATTCAAAACACTTCTTTAAATAAGAGTTTGTTTTCAAGAAGCACTTCTTGTACCATTTCTAACACCTAAAATACAAGTACTTTTGAATTTGGAAAAATTACATCATTCCATTTCATGGTCTTCTCTATTTTGTCTTATAGCCTTTCTGTATTAAAAAGATGACTGGCTTTTTAATTTATGCAAAATTAAATCAATTTAGATATAAGCTTACTGAGAATTAATAGCAATCGCATACATATTCAAGACTCAACTGAAATAAAGACATTACTGTTCAAATCTGATCATATTAAAAGAAGCAATACTCTAACCTACTGAATTATAAAAACAAAGTGATTTGAGTATCCAATTGTTATTTCTAATCTAACAGCAACCTTTCTGGAGGTAACATCATCTAAAGCATTGGCTAAAACATTTTGGTTCGCCAACCCATTGGCATAAATGCCAGAGGTTATCAAACCTTCACCTGAGCCACACCTAAATGCAATCACCAAAAACTGAAATGCAACTAGTGGATGAAAAGATGGCTCATGCTTACTCCCATGAAGAACTTGGAATTACTGTTTTTGACAGGACAAAAAAGAACAGATCACAGCAGAGGTTTACAAAATTCACTTTAAAGAAAGATTAGGCAATAAGAGGATTAAAAGATTTGACAATTCTGAAGGAAGATAACAGAATAGAAACTGGTCCAACAAAAGCAAAGGAGACTCTGGGAGTCAGATGCAGGCAGTATTATCCAGTTGGTACGTGGAGGGAGAGGGCATATGATGCACAAACAAGAACCTAGCATTTCTAGGTTCTTTAAAAAGCAATCACTGTATCAGGCTAGATAGTAGCTTGATTACAGTAGCCACTAAAACCATCCAAGTAACTTCCCTGGCTCAGGCTCTGCTTACCAAGCAAACTTCTAATAAGAAGCTGACTTCCTCCTGTAACCAAGCATGCTGATTACTGAATGCAATTATCCTATCCACTTCAGAGTTATTTCTCCTTATAAATTAATAAACTGCATTACGGTTTTCATACATTAGTCTCCTATGGCTCTGGTTGGGGGGGGGGCCGGAGGCGTGGGGTTCATCCCATAATCCTATCATCTTTGAATTAGCAATCAAAGTCCCTTTCATGACCTGCTAAACAGAACCAGGGCTTGGGAGATCCTACATCCTCCCCCGCAATACAACAGATCTTGAACTCTTCCTTGTATTATCCCATTAAACAGGATTCCTAACTACCCCTCTAATAGCATCTGCTCTCAAATCTTTGAGAGAAAAACACATACATTATTATCCCAGCTTGAACCATAGGTTTGTAAAAGAAAAGACTTAAGGAAAGCAAAGAAATCAAGTATGCTTATTCATGAGTCTTCTGGAAAACAAAACAGAAATCAAGCATCAATTTACAAACAATGTTATCCACTTACTTGGAAAACTTCTAAATTTTGTTTGGAAACACCTTTTTTACTGTATCATCT